GGTCACTCCATGAAGTGACTTTCCTCCCAAAAGAAAGACATTCAACAACTGACAACAGTTCTGTGTCTTCCTTTCACAGAGCCCTTTGTGGGGCTCTGCACACATCTGACTGAGGGAGAGCTGCATGCTACCTGCTGCACAGACAGCTGACACGGCAGAGTGTGCGTGGCCTTGAGGGTGGAGGACGTGTGGCCCGAATTTCATATTTATCCCTCCTATGACCTTGGGCAGGCTGCAGCCTCACTAAGCTTCCGTTTTCTCATCTGTAAAATGGGGGTCTTTCCCACTCCCCAGTCTTGTTGGCAGGATTTGTTTCCATGTTTACTGCCTGTGTCCTCTGAGTTACAGGTAAAGTTCTTGAAATCTCTCTTATTTGCCTTTAGGTATTCAGTCCTTGGAACTGTGTCTGTCATGTAGTAGATGCTCAGTCGGTACTTGCCACTGACTTACAGATTAAATCACCTGATACATACAGAACACCAGGTCAATTTAATGGCACATGTCCAAGAAGTCAGGAAGACCTCTAGAAAGCTCAGGTGTTGACACTAGAATTATAAACTAGCAAAAATATACTAAACCAGAAGTGTTAGACAAGTTTTTTTTAATGCCAGGAGTGACATGCCCAAACACCAGAGAGCTAAGAAGCAGAGAAAGCAAATGAAGGAAGTGGGTGTTTCTGCAGTTTTTATTAATGAATAACAGCAAACACAGAGCAGGAAAAATTGAGATGTGTGACCCTTCTGAAATTTTAGAGTCCATATATTTTTTTACTCAATCACTTTTAATAGGCTCTTACTAAATGTCAGATTTTGTGCCCAGAAGTGAAAAAACTATAAAAGGTTAGGGATGTTTATTTGGCGGAGGGAAATAGGACAGAGCAGAGGGTCTTCCTTTCCATTATGAAAACTGCTTCATCCTGGAAAGGTCTATTTTAAAAGTTTCAACAGATCCTGCTAAAGTCCCCTGACCTGCCTAAGCCCTCAAAGCCTGCAGAAATTATTTACTTTCCAAAATGTCTCCCAAGATACTGAACAACAGTCATCTATAAGGGTTTTGTTGCATACAGAATCCATGAAAGTCTCATGCTGGCAAAACCTTGCCAACTGGCCCTTCTTCACCCTCTCTCCAGAGTTGACAATGCTCTCAAAAGGCTCAGCATGTTAAGAGTAATGGAGTTAAATTCTTCCACTGATACCCTGAACAATGAGCCAAACCTATCCGACAGGGAATGGGCAGGACAGATACTGTGAGGGCGATGGTCAAGTCTCTAGAGTACTTCATGCAGAGAGGAGTTCCGATCTAAGTCACAGACTGAAAGTTGTTCCTTTTTGGTGAATTCTCAGTCACTTCTCAACCAGAGGCTTTTGGCTCATTTTCTAGCTTCATGCCCCCGACTGAGTGCAGGTGAGTGGGTCTGCTCACCGCAGACAGAACACTTCCACGCAAGAGAGACTGAGGACGCACCCTGACAGCAGCACACCTCTGCTTCTGGCTTCTCGCAAGGGGTTGAAGGGCCCACCGTGTGGCTCTTTAAGTCAGTGCAACTTCTTAGGGAAGAGGAGAGTGGTGGGCCTTTGCCCAAATCTTCTAATTAGCGTCAGGTAAAATAGTTCATAGGAGACACTCCTGGCTCACCCCTCATTATAAGCTATGCACACTAGCTTTTATGATTTGAGAATTTTGATTAAAACTATGATGAAATCTGACATTGACAGTCTCCTTATCTATGATTGTGCTGCTTAATTCTTTAAAAAAAGGGGGGGGAATAAATTATCAAACAGAGGACTGTACGGGCTTCAGAGTCAGAGAAACTGGGTTTGACTCTAAATCAAAGTGTGTGGCCCTAAGTTACCTAACTCTATGAACCTCATTTTCCACATTAGTACCTTCAGTATCTTTTTTTGTGAAGCTAAACTTCCACTAGACCATCAAACTTATGCTACGTACTCAAAATAGTTTATGCTAATTATCATTTTTAAAGCAATGATAAAAATTGAAATTGGGGCATCTGAAAGGTTGACAACAGTATTTTATTCTTCCTTGTGAAACAAAATTGTTTTAAGCCAATTGGAAAAGTCTTTTCTCTTCTTCTAACACCGTAAAGACATCATTTGAAGTTTCTAAATTCAAAGCAAAATAGCACTGTATGCAAAGTGTCAGGACAATTCCTGTTACTAAGGTTTCAAGGCTGCACTGCTTACCCTCTTTGGCTTATTCATCACATTCCCCTCACAGGGGACATTTCACAGCAGTTCAAAGTTCTAGCACAGAACCATGAGGTAATTGAATTTCATGCAACTTTAGTTCTAACCAGTTCCAGTTCCAAGTTTAAGGAAGGGAAGGCTAATGCCAACAAGTCCTATAAACGATCAACATCTGAAACAGATTCAAATCAGAACTATTTATCTAGGGCTTGCTATAGGCAGGAAGCAAATAAGGTATAGTATCTCTCTGCCAGGAGAAGAGAAGTACAGTTGGAAATACAAAGGCAGCTAAATATGGGTCTCATCGTGTCTGAGGGTGTATCATAGTCCATGTCACATGCAGTCAGAATAATTACTGACTGGGTAATTAAAGATGTGGGTATAAAAGATGCCCACTCTTTTTAAAAAATACTTTATTTATCTTTAGAGGGGAAGGGAAGGAGAGAGGGAGAGAAATGTCAATGTATGGTTGCCTCCCATGTGCATCCCCTGCTGGAAACTGGCCTGCAACCCAGGCATGTGCCCTGACTGGGAATTGAACCGTGGTTGCTTGGTTCCCAGGCCCGCACTCAATCCACTGAGCTATGCCAGCCAGGGCTAAAAGATGCCCACTCTTGAACACCAGTCCTTCTCTGTTCTCCAGCGGGGCCATCCTAATATTACAGAGTCATCCCAATATTGTGGGGCCTCGACTATGGCCTGAAAAATGAGAAGGGTATGGCTGCTCTAATTCACTTGCTGCTGCTGACACGTAAAAGGAGAAATGGAGGCAGAGGCTTTTTTCTTTTTTTTTTTACCACCTTTTTCATTGTTTGATTGTAAAAGTGACTCTTCATTCAAAGGAAAATGGATTCGAGAATATAGTGCTCATAGTCACAGGTTGTAAAATACACATTGTGTTTTGTTTTCCGTTTGTCATGTTAGCTTTTTTTAACATGATGGTCTATCGTGAAGAAAGCTCAGGAGTGCCAGAGCAGCCTAATCTTGTTGCAAATATTAACTCTGTCGAATCAAACCATCCTTTCAGTCAAGCCCCTAGGTCCTAAGAGGCAAGTGGAAAAATAAATCACACAAATATCTTAACTGGCCACTTTAAACATATTTTTGTGTAGTTTTCTATTTCCTGCATAAAATTTTTTGGTAAACTTATTTTTTAAAGCCACTTTTGTAAAATGAATTCAACTATTTTGAAATAAGTAATAAACTAAGCCAAACTGTAGCAATGTAATATAATGAATGGAAACTAATTTTGATGAACACCAAGAAATACAAAGGGAAGTTTCAAGCTGAGATTTTATCACCTGAAGTAATTATTGTTATACCCAGCTTTTTTCCCCCATTGCCTAAGCTCAACCACTGACTCAGTGAATCCACTTTCAGTGCCCACGTCCCCGCTGTGCTAGGTGCTTGCGGTAATTCTGTAAGGATGAAATGCACCCTATCATTTCAGGCTCTTTACATATGGGGGCAATAGAAGTAAAATTTATAGAAATTATTTTTTTAATTTATCATCAATACTATGTGAGGAAATTATAAAAGGCACATTGGAGGACATAATATTCAAACTGCCAATAAGTGAAAATAAAAAGGGTCTCGAATGTGTAGGATGATCTTAAATAAACTGCACAGCATAGTGTTACAAATTACATATTTTGTTATGGTCTGCATTAAAAACTTCCCATATCAGTATTTTCTATAGCAGAGGCTTCATTATTCTATTATATGAATCTGTTATGTGCATTTTACATATCAATTTCCTTTTTTGATATTTTAGGTAGAGAATTAATAAATTATGGTGCACTTCTTTCTTGTGCACACAAATCTTAGCAACTTATGAGATGATTTCTTTAGGTTAAGTTTAAATTCATAGGAATGGGTTTGTTTAGCCAAAACCTATACACACTTTTAAAGATTTAAAAAAAAATTACCATCCTGGCTGGTATGGCTCAGTGGATTGAGTGCCGTCCTGTGACCCAAAGGGTCCTTGGTTTGATTCCCAGTCAGGGCACAAGCCTGTGTTGCAGGTCAGGGCCCCAACAGGGGGTGTGCAAGAGGCGTGCCATACATGGATGTTTCTCCCCCTCTCTTTCTCCTTCCCTTCCCCTCTCTAAAAAGAAATAAATAAAATCTTTTAAAAAACCCAAAACATTACCAAATTCACTCCCCAAAAGATGTGCTAGCTTATATTTCCACCAAAATTGTACGGGAGAATAAATTTCTTCACAAGCTCAGCAACCCTTGGTATTATTCCTGCAAATTCTTGCCAATGTGATTGGCAAAGAGGGAAAACATTTCACTCTTTTATTTGTATCTCTTTGATTTTTAGTGAAATTCAACATTAAAAATATTTTGAATTAGGCAGTGACACATTAGCTGTTTAGATTTTCAGACTCTGAAATACCCTAAATCAATGATGAGAAGTAACAATCAAAGATGGGCTCTGATTCTATTTTTGCTTCACTATCTTTGGCTTGCTGTAGAGACATACACTTTCTACGGAGTGGTTGTTCTATGGAACGGGGGGGGGATGACAAGTGGATTTTTAGCAGCTGAAAAGGATTTGGGGAGGACATGCAAACTGTGAAAATTTACTATAAATGCCACGATCTTTAAAAATTACGGAATGTCTTTATTATCACCCAAATTCCATACCACCTATAGACTTTGATAAAGAAAACACTTTTAGAAATTCTAGTTAAAAATATAGTCTCTACTCATTCTAAATGTTGCTCATATTATATCTATGAATAATTTCTTAAGTGATCATGCTTTTTTTTCCTTTTTATTCCCCCCAAGGAAAAACTGGTCTACTTCCTGGATTGTTCTTTCAAGTCGAAAAATTGAATTTTACAAAGAATCAAAGCAACAGGCTGTGTCTAATATGGTGGGTATTTCTCTGTTTCTACTATTATCATCTTAAAAATATTGTTGCATTAAAAGTTGGGGTTCAGCAAAAATCGCACTAAAGCCTCCAACCCACCGCCATTGGAAAGCAGATGGAAGAAATGACTCAATAAACTTTTAATCAGATGAAGGGAAAATAGAACTTGGTGTCTGTTTTATTAAGTGATGCATTTGGAGGATAATCACAAAATAAGATGAATGGTGAGCTGCTATCTAGCAATACGAAGGTAACATTTTAAATTAAGGTGCCATTTTATAAATGCTTTATTCTTATTTATGAAATGATCACTAAATGCAGCTACTTGCTCAAATAATGTATTATAAAGTATGTTATAAAATGCATTAGTAATAAATGCTTAAAGAATGAGACTATGGGAAGCTGTTTTAAAGAATATTATAAGACGTAAATCGTATTAAACCATGCATGTGCATCTTTAATACATGAATTTAAGTTGTTATCTAGCATGCTATAAAGTGCCTCACACATTAATAAATAATAATAAACTGTTTATAAGTGGCACCTTAATTTAGGGTACTACCAATGAGGAAACCCTCTAAGTTAACAAAGTGATTTTTTATCTTAGTCTAGCTGTGACATTCACTCTATCTGGCTAACCTTTCTGAATAAATCGATGACTCCGTCTAATGGAGCTAATACAATTGCTGTATCCTATAGTTATTACAAAGTGAAATTTGTAGGGGGTCTATCGTACCTGGGGGAGGCCCTCACACATGCCCACAGAGATTTGACAGTGGTAGTAAGTTGGAGCAATTTTGAGTTGGTCGGCGGGGCAGTCCAGGCTCCAAACCTTGCTGCCCGAACGGCAGAGCTGCCGCAGGACGTAGGAGAGATAGTGGGCAGGCAGCATATCTGACAGCCTCCTGATTAGGAAGGACTGCAGGCAGGAACCCACCTGCCATGCCCCATCCGCCTGATGGGAGGCAGGGGAAGGGGAGGCTGGCAGGAGTTAACCACAATGAACTAATTTGTATTTGGCAGGTAATAAAACGATGGAAAGTTCTTTGCTTTCGAGCCACTAGTCGTGTATGCTATGTAATCCTCTTTGAATAGGAAATAGAAAATCATTTGCTAGGAGATGTTTTTTAAAGAAGGTTTTAGTAAGAACAAAAGGTAGCATTTGGCTGGCTCCTGATAATTGCAATAGCCTTCATCCCCAAGTGGTTTGCTGATTTTGGAGTCTTGGTGCCGTCCAATCTGTAAACTAATTAGGAATAAATTAAAAATATATCTCAGGCCTTTGTATTTTTAATTTAAACTGCCTCAGAAATTTGTTTTAGGGTTTTGTTTTGTTTTTAATTTTTGGCTACAGTAGGGTTGAGATAATCATTTTAAGAAAAATAAAGTACCCCCACAGGCTAGGCACAAAACAGCTCCCATCCACTCTCTGGTCCTTTGTGTCCCCCTGAATGAATTCTAAGGCATAAGGAGGCACAGTAAGGCAGGAGGGGCACTGTCCTGACTCAGTTTGGCTGCTGAGAAGATGATCTTCGTCCTGCTGGGCAAGAAGAATTCCACTGGCGTAGAGTTTGTGTGAATGTGCTGGGAAAATAGGAGAGATTTGATTCCAAATCAAAGCATTTGGTTTATTTTTATTATTTTAATCTCCTTGTACCAAGAGATATCATTATCAGCTCTTTAATTTTACACAGGTGAAAGAGAACTGCCTCTTAGATATAGGCAAAACTTGGAAGTCAGCTTACTAGTTCCATGCCTCCAGTTCAACCTTCAGAACTGTTGTAAATCGGCAATAGATTTTACTCTTAGAAGAAATTTGTTAACAGTTTTTTTTTTTGCAGTCCCTATTTGGTACTTCTGGCCCCATTTTCAATGTTCTTATGGTTTTTCCCAGGCATTCATTGTCTTCAAAGTGAATTCAGGGCAGAAACTAAGTAACTGTGTTTTGCAGTAACAGGGAAGAGAATTACAGATTCATGTCTGTACTGCGTGAATTGTCTTCTAGTCAACTTCTTGGATACATTTCATACCAAGTATTAAAGGCCTATGGGGTAGCCTACATTTACCAGTTCCAGTCTCAGAGAAATGATATGGTGATTGCCAGGCCTTGATTAAAGATGCTGTGGTTTAATTTTGAAAGATTTATGTCCTAATTTCTGAATTTTTCTTGGACCCCCTAACACGTGTCTGGGTATTTTTCAGTCTGTCATTTCCTCCAAGGGGTCAGCAGAAACTGCCTGAGTGCAGAATGTGGTGTGAAAGAGTAAACAGCATTCTAATCTTTTTAGAAATGCTGTTTGAATGTCAATACATGGTGAGACAAAGCAACAAAGTAGCCAGGAGCTGGGCTTTGAAGTTCGACCACAGGGAACATCATTCTAGTTTTGGCCATTAAGAGCTGACAGTGACTCAACTTTTTTGCGCTTTGGAATGCTCATCTGTAAAATGGGGACAGAGTTAACTGCCAGCAGGATTAGTAAGGAATGGAATTAATAAAACAAAATAAAACCACATAGTAGCTATAAAATACTTATTAAATCCTATCATAATGTAATCTATTAAATATATAAATATATTTCTGATATTCTGTAGTACATAACTAGAGTATAATTACAAGATACTATTCTCCTATGTTAGCTTTGTAATTGAACAGATTCAACACATGTATAAGAGAAAACATATTAATTCAAGTTACACAGTCTGTCCATCCTCCAGGAAGAGAAATATATATATTCATAGCAGCATAAAATGTTTCGTCTGAGCGCTGAATAGTTCTGATAATGAAGCCATCTCTCTGTTTGGGCTTTAGGTATAACCTCCTGCATGTCCTTATACATTGCCCTCCACTGGCTCTTACCCCGAAGGCTTTCACATTTAATACAGCATGTCACGAAATGGTGTGGCTGATGCTACAATCCATGTTTAAGTTCATAAGCAAGTCATATATTTTTCCAAAGTTGTTTTCCCCTGAAAATAGACACAGAATCACTTCACTGCTGTTTGTCAATTAGAGATTCTTAGGCTCTGGGTCCTCAGTCACCTATTGAAGGAAAACGAGAATTGACCTGTCTTTTTAATTTTGTTTGTTTTTAATAAAAATATTAAACAGTAACTTACCACCTACTGCCACTGTCACTTTCTAGCAGAAAAGGGACATTATAAACTACCCCAGTCCCAAACTGAGGTAGGATAAAGCCTCAGAATGAAGGACGTTCTTCAGCAGAAGAGGAGAAATGTCTCCACTGCGTGGCATTCACATGGTTTCTGGGTAGTTCGCCCGGGCCCAGGGAAAGGTGGTCCTGGCCTCGGGCGCTGCAGGGGGCGGAGCACGTCGGAACCACCAGAGTCCCTGACCTGGGTGTGCTGGACTGTGCAGGAAAGGAGAGTGTTTACGTTCACACCAACTTTTACGCATTCTGATTTTTAACTCAGTTTAAAATGTCTAAATATTGTCATTGGAAAGCAATGCAGAAACCATCTTTAGTAAAATGTATTTTATATATATATATAATTACTCACCAAACTCTGCATCACCACCCCCAAGTCAACACAGAGACCCTGCCAGCCCTCCAGCAACCCTCTGCCCTGCCATTTGCCCATGTCCTCACAGCCTCTTCCACGGCCACCGAGTTTGAACTGTGTTTTAGTCATTATTTCATTATCTTTAATTATTTTTCCAACTATATCTACAATGCTAAAAAATAGTTTACTTTGTCTGGTTTTGAGTGTATATAAATGGACCCATGGTGCATGTTTCTTTTGGTTTTTGCTTTTTCCCCTCAATGTGTCTTGCTTTTTCTTTCCTTTCATTATTCTATATTTTTCTCTACTTTGGGAGCAACACACTTTGTTTGTTATTCTGATAGTGGCTTACCGAAGATTACAACAATGAGACTTATCAAAGGCTGAAGCTCATCAAATCTTTCACCCTCTTTCAAATATTAGCTTAGAATATGTTTAGTCTATTTATTTCCTTCCCAATGTATATGCATTTGCTGTCTAGTATTTTAATTCTTTCTTTTATTTTTTAACACCACTAGACATTATTTATTCCATTTTATAGAGTCAATGTTGGTTTCCATTTGTTCAATATTTACCATGTTCTTTGCTATTTATTTCTTCCTGCATCTTAGACCTTCCTTTTAGGATCACTTTTCCTTCTGTTTGAAGTGTATTCTGAGAAATTCCTGTAGTAAGGGTCTTATAGTGACAATCTGTCTCAGTGTCTGCTTGTTTCAAAATGCCTCTATTTCTCCTTCATTCTGGAAATATATACTCTCTCTGTACATAGAATTTTCACTGGGCAGTTATTTTCTTTTGGCACCACAAAGATATCATCCCACTGTTTTCTTTTTCTTCTTTTGATGTTTGATGTTTGTTCTTATTTATTTGTTACTCTTAGAACAATCTTATTTTGGGCTGGACTCAAACTTAGAGGTAGAAGCTCTCAGAGAAGACAACTTGTGTCCCTTGATAGTCTGTTCCTGGCATTTTGGGGGGGGGCTCTTTTATTCTCTTAGCCAAAACCTTAGCATATTCTGCGGCCTCTTCCTTATTTTTCTTAACACATTGTTTCTTCAGATCAACGTGCCATTTGCGTGGCTGGACACGTGGAGTTACAAGACACAGAACCTTGGGTGCTTCGGTCCTAGGTTTCTTATCTGCTTTGTTTAGGAGATTTCTCACAGCATATTGGCAGACATCTTCTTTAAAGAGACTGAAAAGTTTGTGAATTCTGTCAGCTCTTTTGGACCCCAGGCACCGAGGCACAGTAGCATCAGAGAGACCAGGAATATCTTTCTCCCCTTTTTTACAATGACCAACTCGAGAACCCCGAGAGTGGCATCCACAGTGCAGCCCTGAACAGAACTGTGCTCTCTCTGCAGTCCTCCTTGGTCTGTAACAGGAATGCCCCTTTACTCAGCAGCAGGCAGACACAACCGTGGGTGTAGACACCCACTTCATGGGGAAACCTCATTTGTCATTTACACCATGGATTCAAA